AACCACCTGCCTCCTTAGAGTTTACCTGGAAAGCAGAAGGTGTGAGGACAGTAAGTGCGGTGACACGGAGCCCTGGTGTCGCAGCCTCTTTACTGGAGCCTCTGCATGGAATTGTTTGTTCTTGTGCTGTTGTTCTGGCTGTTGTTTTTAAGCCATGAAACAAGGCTTTAAACACACACACACACACAGGAAAACTGTCGATATAAAATATGCATCCAAAGGAGGGGCATTTTAATACCAGTAATTACTGGAAAGAGGAATTGTAGAATATAACTTTGAGTGTTAGAGTCCTCACTTATTCCTCCTGCTTGGAAAGACTTCTTTTCTTACCTAAAGCAAAGGGCATGTACTCCGAGCCCCAGGTACACACTCTCTGCTGCTTTTCCTCTGAGATGACTAACTTGGATTTCGGTAGGTGCTGTGTGATCTCAGCTCACTTAACCTCTCCGAATTCTGCTTTCTTTCTCTATAACATGAGTCTGATTATAGGAATTATCTCATAGAATGATTATGAAGGATTGAATGACAATTTATGTAAAATGATTAGCAAGATGCCTGGCATATAAAACGTCTCAAGAAATGGAAGCCTTAGGAATATTATTAGGAGGATGTGCATGTACCAACTCTATGTTGGTATTTAAAGATGTTATATTCAATATTCTCTTTCTCTTAGTACATTACCTATTGAAGTTTCCAATGAGGCAGGATATAGAGATATCTGAGATAAAAAAAAAATAAAGTAAAATAAAGAACATGGCAAAAATACCATGTAGATAATCTTTGTAGCCACGATCCTGTACAAGCCTTATTGCTCTGAGATAAATGCTGCCCATCAATGGGCATGATCTCATTGCTGTTTATCATTTCACTTGTGCTGTGTTTTCTTTCCAAATCTCCGCATGTACTTGGCAAGTTGATCAGGGAAGCTCTGAGTCTGTTAACTTGAAACCGAAACCCAGTATCACTCGATGAGGATATGGGTGGAGGCTAAGTATTTTGAGCAGAGGAACTAGGAAAAGCAAAGGAACATTTTCTAAATGTTTCTACTTGTTTCTGTTTGTAATATGGCTCTACTGAACCTGACACTCACAGGTGACAACTATGAAGAAGGGGGCGGGGAATTACCTGGTGCCATTGGACAGTGGAAATAAGCCAGCAGGTGCTAGAGGGGCATTGAAATTCAGAACTTGGAAGCAGGGACCAAGCCGAGTGAGTTCCCCATTTGACAACTGGTGGACTAAAGGCAGGCTGAGTTGAATGACTCCAGGTGGCTAATGCCAGTAGGAAACCCACTGTCATTTTGGTTTGAAAACCAAAAGAACAGAGTTCAAGGTAAGCGTAGTCCCTGGAAAATGCAGCTAGAATCCTGGAAAAGAGAGAGGCAGACAAGGGAAGCTCACAGTTCTATACACAAACACTGCCCACATTTTTTAAAAAACATATTTTTATTGATTTCAGAAGAAAGGGAGAGGAAGAGAGAGATAGAAACATCAATAATGAGAGAGAATCATTGATTGGCTACCTTCTGCATACCCCCTATTGGAGATCAATAGGCATATTGATCTTGACTGGAATCAAACCCAGGACCCTTTAGTCTGCAGGTTGACACTCTGTCCACTGAGCCAATTGGCTAGGGCCATTGCCCACATTTTTTTTAAATATATTTTATCGATTTTTTACAGAGAGGAAGGGAGAGAGACAGAGAGTCAGAAACATCGATGAGAGAGAAACATCAAACAGCTGCCTCCTGCACATCCCCCATTGGGGATGTGCCCGCAACCCAGGTACATGCCCTTGACCGGAATCGAACCTGGGACCTTTCAGTCCGCAGGCCGACGCTCTATCCACTGAGCCAAACCGGTTTCGGCCATTGCCCACATTTTTGACTGACCCTTGAGCCACACGCCTGCTAGCACAGCTAAGATAGAAGACCCGAACTGAGATTTGAGCTGCCAACCAAGGGAGTTTTCAATTTGGGTGTAACCAGGGAAATTGTCTGCTAGGACAAAGAAATTAGTGTTCTTCAAAAAGCATTAAGGCTTCACACCATATTTGTATTCATACATTCTCATGATACAACCCAAAATGACACAACATATGAAAAACAGAGAAAATGTAAATCCTCTGAAGTGAAGAGGCAACCATCTGAGACGAATCCCAGGATCACCAGATGTGTGATTAACAAGGATTTTAAAGAAGCTATTGTAACCCCACACAATGGATGGTCAGAAAAATACACTTACAGTGAATAAAAACACAGAAACAGAAAACAGAACCCAACGGACATTCCAGACTGAAAAGCAGATTTGAAATAAAATTCACTGAGTGGACTTCGATCATTAGAAGGAATGGGGAAGGTGCCCGTGAACCTGAACAGTGATCAATAGGAATTTTCTTTCCAAAGGAAAAAAGATTTAAACTACTTAAAAGAAAAAAGGAATAGAGCCTCAGGGACCTATGTGACAAAAATAAATGCCTACCCTATGTGTAATTGGATTCTCAGGAGAGGAGAAAGAGAATGGGACAGAAAAATATTTGAAGAAATAATGGCTAAAAATTCTCAAATTCGGTGAAATACATACATTTACAGATCTAGAAACTCCATCAACCCCAAACAGGTACATTTGGAGCAAAACCATGCCCAGGCACATCTAAAACTGGACACCAACAATCAAGAGGAAATCTAACAGCAGCCAGAGAAAAATGGTGCATTGCCTCTCAGGGTCAAGCTTTAAATACGCGCTGACATCCAATCAGAAACTACAGAGGCCAGGAAAAGTGAAACAGTTTTTTAAATACAGAGGAAAAAAACCTGTTAAATACTCAAAAATCTATGTATAGTAAAAGTATCCTTGAGGATAAAGGCACATTGAAGACGTTTTCAGATAGAACTAAGAATGCATTGGCAGCAGATCTGCACCAGGAGAAATGCTACAGGAAGTTGTTCAGGCTAAAGTGAGATAAAGTGGGAGCTTACACCTGTAGGACGGAATGAAGGCTGTCAGAGATTGTAAATATAAAAGAGTATTTTTTTCTTAGTATCTTTAAAATGCATAGAATCTTTTAATGAAAAAATCACAACACTGTGATGTTTATAAGGTGCTGTGTACAGATGCAGAACATAGGACAATTGTAGCATAAAGAATGGTGGGGGCGGGGGGAGTGGTAAATGGACTTATACACTTGCCAGGCTTTCAAATTTTATATGAGTTTGTATGAAATTAACTCTAAATAGACTGTGAAAGGTCAAGAATTTTACTCTCCAGAAAAGCCACTAAAAGTACAGGGGTAAAAATAGAATACTAAGCATTTTTAAAAATGATCCCAAAAGAATGCAGGAAAAAAGAAATAGAGGACAAAAAATAGAGGAGGCAAACAGGAAAAAAATAATAAAATTGTATCTGTATATGCAACCATATTACTATTAATAAAAGGGTCATTCCATTAAGATGACATAATTATAAATGAGTATATTTCCAAGTGATAAAATTCCAAGTGAGATCACGTTAAGTATTTTTGAGTCTAGAATTTTTTGAGGACTAACTCAATTGTGAGTTAAGAGGCATCACTTTAAGCTAACAATCATTTAACAAAATCAACAACTATTTAATAAAACATATGGAATCTTGCTCGTTGTTTCCTTACTAGCTAGCTAAGAAATCTGTATTTCATTTGTGGTGGTGTATAGCCAATTTAAAGTCAGATTAATAGAATATAAATAGAAAATTCGAAAACAAATCCTCTTACCACTGCTGCTAATAGAGTTGCAAATACACATTAAGCACAAAAATTGACTCCAAGTTTTCTGGTAGACAGGGCAAAAAGGGAAACACAGATGTTTCATGTTAGAATTTTTTTCACATGATACAGATCATGTATCATAGAAATGTACACTTGAAACCTATATGATCCTATTAACCAATGGCACCCCAGTAAAATATGTAATATTTTTAAAAAAGAAAATTTTCATATGATTCTAAGATCCCTTCCTGTTTTTCAGATTTTATAAAAATGGGGTAATAACACCTACTTTTTCAGAATCTTGATAGGTTTACATGAGACCACATTGGTGCATAAATGTTAGCCTATTGTTTTCCTTCTTCTATAACTCCAAATAAGGTTCACGGTAGAAATTTCAGGAAAGTCAGACTATAGTTAACTTCCTTAAAACTCCATACTCTGAACTTCTATGGATCAACTTATTTCAGTAACACAAATTATAGCAACCATGAGAAGCATTGTACAATCTTCTCTGTACAAAGTATATGTGATTGTCCACATTTTACAAATCAGGAAACTCTACTCCAGAGAAGTGATGTCACTTGACCAAGGCCATAGAATGCGTTTAGTCAGGGTTTGAACCCCTACCCATCTGTCACCAAAGCCCATGTTTTTTCAGTACATTGCACTGCTTCTAAAATGTTGAATAACTTAACAGATAGGCCTCCTTTGTACGGCTCATGCAGGTGATTCGGCAGTGCTTGTGACGAATCGGCGCACACTGGGTGAGAGTCTGTGTAATGTAGCATCACCAATGGAGTCATGGCTCAGGAGGCTCCACGTAAACCCTGCCAACATCAGAGAACCTTTGAATGTCCCCATTTTGTGTTCATACTCTGTTTTCTAAAAGTACGTTTTTCGTCAAGACTTGAGGACTTGGAGAGTGACAAAGAGTAAGGTCACCCGGGACAAGCAGTGACAGCTTTGCCAATACAATTGGAATGTTTCTGAACTGTAGAGCTTATTTAATGAAAAGAGACCCATGAAACCTTTTCACTAATGTGTAGTGCTCTCTTGTCAGTTTGACATGAGCAAACTGTCAGCCTTCCCATTACCATGCATACACTATGTGCTCATTAAATCATGCACTCTGGGTTTCTTCAGGGTGTCAAACTGCTTAATTGAAAAAGTGACTGGTGTCACTCTTACAGGAAAGAGACAGAAATCAAAGGCCTGGAGAGTTTACTCTTAATATCTCAGAGTTTGCTTTTAACTGCAGCTAGAAATTGCCTTGCTTTACAGTGT